ACTGAATTGATGTATGAGTATATGAAAAGGACTATAGTAGTAAGTATGAAATTATGAAATATTATGCTGAGGAATGAATTTGAATATATGTGAATACTGAATAATAAAATCCCTATGATATTGAACGTTCATCATTGAACAGTCCTTGACCGTTCGGTGTTTCTTATAAATTCTTTTGAGAGCGAATTCTTTCATTTGGAAAGAGTTCTAGTTGAGGACGAGCGTCTTCTTGTAATAGTACTATATTTGAGCGTTCGGCCAAATATAGATTCACTTGCGTGTTACGTGAGAAAATGAAAATCTTGTAAACAGATAATTTGCATGTTTAGTTATTCTTCAACCATGTCCCCAATGTTGTTATCATTATGATCATAAATTGTTCCTATTATAAATTATTGATAATTCTCATCTCTCATTCTCATAATGTGTGGCGTTCGGTTTTATACCAAACGCTCATAAACCTTTTAATTTTGTTATCCTGATGAAACCGCATTCGTCCAAACTCTGTAGAAATTCCGTTACTGTGTTCAGTTATTGACCGACACTTAGTCTTGATATATATATATATATATATATATATATATATATATATATATATATATATATATATATATATGAATTATTCTACGTCGATTCTTTAAAGGGCGTGGCACGTATCACCTTCGCTGTCTCCAACCAAGAGTCTTACGTACCTACTGTATTATTCAAGTGTTGAATGCAGTTCACGAGAGTCAGTTCATTTAACTGGTTCATGTTATAAGCAACGTTCGTTACATATTTTAGTTGTGCTCGAATTCTCATTAAACCCTGAAAATGATCCTTCAGTCTTATTTTATTCTGGAATGAGATATCTCCCGGTCTCGTTCATCTCGTTCGTCCTCGTTCTGAAGAGGGTTGAACATTCGTTATTTGACGTTATTGGAAAATGTGATAAAAACGATATTATCGTGGGAAATTATGAAAGATGAAAAATATATAATATGAAAATAAGGTTGTGGATTTTGAACGAGCGTTCCGGGGAGGAACGAGTCATGATTGATTATTTGAAAGTGGTAAGGTATGACTGTGGTTATGCTAAGCTGTCGATTCATCCTGATGTTCCGTGAGAACTCGTCCTCACGTAGAGGAGAGTTGGTCATGTGTGGGAACGACAGGAGGTCCTAGTCCTTAGGGTTACTTTGGATAGATAGGGCTAACCTCGGGTGGCAGCTGTTGAGGGTATCCAAGTTACTACATCACCCGGGTGCAAGAACGTCGTAGCTACACAGATGTCATACAGTCCGGACGGTCGGTCTAGTAGTAGGCCTTGCTTTAAGTGTATTGTAAATTCCGTATGTGTGTTGATGTATGAATTGTATGTTTGACAACTGAATTAAATTACATAAGCTTACCCTGTGTTTTCCTTGTGTTGTCCTGTCCTGTACGTCTGTCTTGTCAATTGCAATGATCATCCGTGTGGATGTGAGCAGAAGGAGACGCATTGTTGGAAGATATAATTGAAGAGGAGAATTTGGTGGACGTTGAAGTCAAGGCCGAGCCTTAGGTCGTTCGGTTAATTTAGATGTTGTTGCTCTTCGTTTTGATCGTTCGGTATTATTTTGTAAACCGTTCGATTCTGACTCTTCTTATTTCTGTTAAATTGTAATTAACTCTTACTCAACGTCGTTCGGCTTTTTGAATGTTGTTATTAGTGTAAGACTGCATTGTTTACTGTGAAATGTAATTAATATCTATATATGTTTTTACTGTATTTCTTTGGTCAATCTAGCATTTACGTATCTATCATAGTTTCATTCTGGAGTGATCCATTTAATTTAATTCGTAAAAATAATTAATCAAAAAATATTTTGAAAATAAAAAACTACACGTATAAATAATAATAATAATAATAATAATAATATAAAAACAGTAGTAGTTTGGTTACCAGTAACTTTAAAAAGGGAAAATACTCTATTTGTTATAATATTATAATAATTAAATAGTAATAATATTTCTATTACAAAATTAGTTCTTTGTATAAATTTAGCTTAGCTCATAATAAATGAATTCACGATAAAATAAAAGGATGCTACAGACAAAAGAAATATTTTTCTTGATCTATTTATTGCAAACTCCATCGCGTATCGACAATTTGTTTCTCCGACATAACCTTCTACCACACTTGATAGCTCAGAACAAAAAGCCAGACTCTACACCACTCGGTATTGGGAGCGATCGGTTTTGGGAATTTTTCACTCTTTTTTGGGCATCATCTCACTGGTCCTCCCCCCACACCCCCCCCCCCCCCCCCCCCCCCCCCCCCCCACCCCTCCCCCCCCCCCCACCCCACCCCCCCCCCCCCCCCCCCCCCTCCAACCCCACCCTCCCCCCCCCACCCCCCCCCCGCCCCCCCCCCACCCCCCACCCCAACCCCCCCCCCCCCCCCCCCCCTCCCCCCCTCGCCCCCCCCACCACCTCCCCCGACCCCCCCCCACCCCCCCCACCCCCCCACCCCCCCCCCCCCCCCCCCCCCCCCCCCCCCCCCCCCCCCCCACCCCCCACCCCCCCCCCCCCCCCACCCCCCCCCCCCCCCCACCCCCCCTCCCCTCCCCCCCCTCTTCCGCTTCCTTACAAAAGGATTATCCTCATGACGATCATGTTGGGCGAGGTGCTGAGCTATCTGCGAAGGAGTGGCCCTAATTTTTCCTGTGTATCTTTTTGAGCGCAACAACATGCTTTGAAACGGGAGCATCACCTATGGCGGTCGGTTTGGTGGAGGGAAGACTCTCCTTGGTCCCTCCTTTTCGTTTCATGATTTTAACCAATCTCTGACAGAACCTTTCCTTCCCATAATGTCTACAAGTCAATTGTACAACAGGCAGGTCAATCACAGTCATAAAATAACTACAAATTAATGATGCGGTGCGACCATACCACATACCCGCGAGCTAAAGGTCGTCGTGCTGAAAACAATTTATTATCTTTCGAGAGGAAAAGGGGTGAGGCAGTTCGGTTAAGACATTCAACGCTTCCAATTCTTCAGAGGTCATCTCGTCTTTGGACCAGGAGGTTAACCTAACAGGATCTTGGGTCCAATATAGGGGAAACCTAGGACTATTATCCTTATTAAAGAAGAAAGAGCGACCTAGGTCAGTAATTTTTCACCTTAAAAAATTTGTCCTTAAAATCTTAAAATTGCGATTAAGCTCCAATAGAGCATTTCCCGGATTCCAGAAATTAAGAAAATCCAACCTCTCCTACAACCGGACGGTTCGAAAAAGTATACGGAAATGGCCGGGGTCGGTCTAATGGCTACACTTGCACAATGCGGCAAAAGCCATGGCATATCCCCAACTATTTGGATGTCGTTGTGCAAGGGCACACGTTTTAACTGCTCTTAGCACATACATAACGTAAAACATACAAGAGTAAGCAAAGAAGAAATCATTGCAAGTCACCCTTTCATGAAAAAACACCCTTTATTCCCACAAGCACTCAGTTTCATACCAACTAACTTATTTGAGGTCTAAGTAATACACTATTTTCTATTCAACTTGCAATTAGGTTTACACCTAAATAAACTGCAAAATTCGCTTACCATGGGAAACCCCATCGTAGTCCTGATGTTGTGTGAAGACGAAGATCAACTTCTTTAGACTTTCAGCGGCAACATTACCATATACAAAGGCACTATCACTTCTAAGTATGGTGGTCATGTCGGAATGAACTCCGACTGATGATGTCCCTATCATGACCGGAGCCTTAACAACACCACCTTACCCCATTCCTTCCACAGATTCTGGCGAACAATTTAAAATAGCAGAAGGATCCATTGTTACCTAAAGAGAAATGCGAAGAAGAGGGCTAGCGAATTGGTGAAGAGGGAAGTTTGCAGAGAAATGACAAATGACGATTGATTAACCTAGCATTTTCAAAAATCTTTTCACATTAATGAGGGGAAATTGACGCAATCATAAGCGATGAGCACCGTAGGATTAAGTTTGATCTTACGGCCCTGCTTACGAGACTTTGCAACTACCTCAAAGGTGGGAAACCTAAAAGGTTATTTGACGAATGGGGCACCTTCATCTAACGGTACGCAATAAGAGTTCCAACACCGAGCACCAGTCTGAAGTCCTATAGTTAACCCATCCATGACACCGAACGGTTAACTCGAACTTGGGCGGCATTATGTATAATATGATATCTAAGCCGAACGGTTAAGAGAATTAGTCGATCGGTTGACACCATGTATTGGGTCATAATTGGGCAAGAAATCGAGTAACTTATATTAAAATCTCGTGGCAAGGCCCATGCGTTAATGGACCAAGAAGTAATTGGGTCGGTAATCTAACAAATAATAGAAGGATGATCAAATATGAATAAAAGATATTGATAAACGGTTTATCCACAACTAACCGAATCTATAGGTAAGTCTATTTTTATTTTATTAAGTTTGAATTAGTTTAGGATCCATGGAATGACTTATAAATATAGGATAAGGGTTAACAGCCAAGGACGTTCTATTCATTCTCCAGTATATCCGAATACTCAATAGTGATAACAATTCTATTGTGAGTAGAAACTCTTAAAGCACACGCCTAAATTGAGCGTCGGAGTGCCTTTTGCAGGTACCTCCCTCTCCGGTGCAAAGCAGCAACCAAGCGGTCGAGCGGTCAAGTGAGCGGAACACTCAATTCCAACGTCGGAAAACAACAAAGCCATGTCAAAAAGGTTAGTGTCTCGGTCCCACAAAATCTCAACCGAAAAACATTTTATCTTATTCAACAATATATTTATGTTTTTTTTTAAAGTAAAAAATAACTTGGTGTGAGTGCCTTCCAAACAAACTTTTGTTTTTCCTTAAAATAGTGAGATATACCACCAATCTTGCTTCCTCCTCCATTTCATTTTAGGAATCATTCTACATTTCTGAAATATATTTATCTAAAACTAATTTTCGAAGTGTTAAACTTTATGGACAAATTTATGTAAATAAATAACATTATATGGATAAACCTTTTAGCATGGTCTTGATATCCCAATTTATTTTTGCTGCCTTAGGCTAGGGTTTACAACTTACAAGATACAAATTATTGATTTTTTTCCCCTTTATCTTGGAGAGATCACTCTCTAAGGACGCGTTTGGTAAATTATTATATCTATTCTCTTACCCCACCGTTTGATGTTGCGCTCCGACACACTCCCGCTGAGAACCAACGCTGAATAGAAACAAATTTCATATTCGAAGTTTCTGTAGTTCCAATTTCCAACGTCCGATTCTTCCAACGAAGATGCTGTCACTGCAACACAATTGAAATCTATGCAAAAAAGGTAAAATTGCAAAAGTAAAAAAAATATGCGAAGGCTGCTTGGGAAGATCTCGGGATTGTTCGGCAATCGAACTAAAGTGGGGGTTGACAAAACAGGGAACAAATATTTCACTAGAAATGAAGAGGTTGATGGTGTCAGTAAGTGCTTTGTGTGTGTGTGTGTTTAATGGGTGTTTTTTATTGTGTTTTGTGATTCTGGGTTTGTACGTGTGTGGTTTGTCTTGTATGAACTCTTCGTGTAATATAGAGAAGTGGGGTGTTTTTCATTGCAATGATCACCTCACTGTCAATACTTCACTTACTTGATCTACCCGATATTGGGATATTCTTAATTTGCTGCTTTCTTTTTTCTGTTGATATGGTTATGAACCAAACAAAGTTAGTGTTACCTTGTGAGTTGGTGTAGTGGTGACAAAATTAGTCCGCAGGATAAGAATGTTTACAAGAATACACTCAATTAGGATGTCACTGGTTTGAATTCTGTGAAGAAAAATCCTTGGGGAGGGGTTGAATTGATACAACTCCCCAAGAATAAATAAAGGAATACTTTCAAGTGGCAGGTCCTTGGTTTGCATTCTGTGAAAAAAAATAATTCCTTGTAAGAGGGATTAGCAGGATTATCTCCAAAGGAAGATGCTTCTGGATATATCCAACAGATAAAGATTAAATATTAGGCTTTGAGATTGGAGGTGTGAAGTAACTTCGCCACTGTCACAAGTTTTTTGAGGTTATTAGTTCTTCAGCCTATTATAGGAGTTGGTGCAACTTTTAACAAGGTTGATCTTGTTTTACAAAGTAAAATAATTAAATAAATAAAATTTGTTTATTGGCATTTAAAAATTTTGGCACCATTTTCTTCTGCTGGATTGAATCATTTTAGAATTCAGATATCACTTTGGTGTGTAAGTGTGAATTTTTTTAATTTCAAAACTCTGGTTCGTATTTTTTTTTCTGTGTTCTGCGTTGTAGTTCATCTTATAGTGAATCTGTCTGATTTTGCTATTTTGTTTTGGTTTACTAGTGAAAGAGAAAAGATGGGTCATATTTAAGGGAGAGGAGGATCCGACCACTATTCCAGGTATATATTTTACATTGGTCAACGTTTACTGCTGAATTATTACATCTATTATTACATTTTGATTCAGGGATGGATCCGATTGTTTTATATGTTGAATATTTGAAGACTTTTTTTTGTCATATTTCCCATGCTTAAAGATAATTACTGTTGCATTGTTTCAGTCGAATGGATATGTTGGCTGAATGGGCAGCGTAAAAAGGCTCCAACTCCAGAGGTAAATTGCAATACACCTATGCATATCCTTTTTCTAGTACCATAAAGTTATCCAAACACAAATCTATGGATGTTTATTTATACTTTTTCTGTCATGGCTAGGCTAGATGACATGATGTTGCTTATAACAGTTTCCCTTTAAAGTTTTGCTTATCTTCAAGGATTGATTTGCAATGAATAAACATTGGTTTTTGTTAACTCTTTCTATCTATCTACTATCAAAACTCTGATTTTCTTTCAACAACAACGACCACAAAGCCTTTTCTCATAGGCAGGCCTTGTTACATGAATCAAAAGACGATGTAATGTTCTATTGTTAATCTTGTCTATATATGGATCATTGACCTTTAAATCCTTCTCAATGATTTTAACCTATAAATTTGCTTCCAGGCTCCCTTTCCCACTATCAAGGAGTTACCCCCAGCTAAATTCTCATTACTTGGGCTTCTATAGGTTTATCCCACGCATGCCTAAGTCACCAAACGTGAGATTGTACTATTTTTTTTTTCTGTAGTAGGTGTTATCCTAGTTTTCTCCCCAGTACAATAATGGATTCTTTCCTAATCCTATTTTGTCTAATATGTCTTCTCATCCAATGCAACATTGATTTTATTCTCTCCTGGGCTTTTGGCTGCCCAAAATTCAGATCAATACAACACCTGAAGTTTAGTGTTTTGCGTTTCCTTAATAGGTCGAGGTCACAAGGGTAAGCTAATCAGATAGGACATTGCTCTTGAAGCATTCTGTATTAGTTGTATTGTCCCTTGCCGTTCTTCTGCAGAACTGTCTTAGCATTCTCTCATATTTTTCCCACTTTTCTCGATTTTGGTTTCTCTTTCATTTTGTTGGTTTGGGGAATTAAATCGAGCTATGAAAAGAAATAATTCTTAAGGGCTTAATTGATCCCTCTCACAATCTTCTATTTATAAGAATAAATTGATACACAAATACATGATAAATAGGGTAACCCTTGACACACTATAATGATGATAAAATAGGATAAATATCCTAACACTCCCCCTCAAGCTGGAGCATACAAATTGTATGTACCAAGCTTGGAACAAATAAACTCAATCCGAGGACCCCTTAATGACTTAGTCAATACATCTGCGAGTTGATCGTTTGACCCAATAAACTCAGTACATATTTCTTTGGTCAACAACTT